CTACCGGATGAAATCCAAGAAACACAACCAAAATGGTGGAACATAAACTTGTATCGTTCGCGGCTGTCGTAGCTTTGTGAACTCTTGTAACTTACCAATAAAGCTAATTCGCATACTCCTAAAGTGTAAATACATACAAGACAAAAATTATGCCATTTTGGCCGCTATGTTGCGAAAGCGAAGCTATTTTGTCTATAAAGTTTCGTCCCGGTTACCCGGGCTGGAGTGTTCCTATGGGAAAATTTTCATCCCGGTTACCGAGATATCGGTCGCAAAAACCGAGATCTCGGTAACCGGGCCAGCCCTGCTTCTCATATGAACCCGTCGACACTCTTACGAAGGAAAGAGTGGCGAGGCGAGATCTCGGAAACCGAGCCACGAGCCCGGTTGACCGGGCTCATATGAAGAGGCCCTTAAGCGGCCAGTTCCTCAAGTCCCGAAGGTAACCATTGTATACAGGTTCGCCGGACTGTACCAATTCGGGTCGACCTAAATAATTGAGACGGAATCCACCAGAATTTCGAGTAACAAATGGACAGAAACCTAGTACCAAGATTATTTACATCGTATTTAGTGCAAACTTCTGTACGATTGTTTTAAATATCTTCTAAAAAAAATCATTTCTAGCAACACCAAACGCCGAAAACGAATGTTGAACTTCATATGAAACACTTGAAAGTACTGGTGAAATGAAACTGATGATGAAATTTTGCCTGTGTTTGCACAAGATCTCTAAACTTTGAAATATATTTTCTCTCGTTCCCATGGGAAATTGTTTTCGGTGTTATTTCAGGCAATTATTTATGTATTTCGCTTTAAGAAATTGTAAAAATGACTAAAATACTTAAATTATTCTGGTACCAGATTTTTGTCCACTAAAACCTGAAATTGCTCTATTTTCTATCGGATTTCGTCTTAAGTCCTGCAGTTTATTCAAACGTTGAACCTAATTAAGAGGAACTTAATTGCAAAAGTGAACATGACAGGATCAAGGAGGGTAGAGGAATGCGATTCCAGATGCAGTTAGCATTAAACAACCTCTCTGCAAGGAGAAAGCGAGTTTTGGTTTAACGGCTGCGATCAAGGCTTTTTTTTTTGGCGTGCCTGGGAATCGTGCAGGCCTGTCAACCCCATTTTACACTCATGCATAACAACTGTTTTATCTACTGTCAAAGCGTGAAACTTTAAATGTCCTGAACCCAATATACTGATTTTAGTCGACTCAAGTAATTTTTTGGACAGCTAATCCAGACGTCGAACCTAATATAATGGGATCGAGCTTAATTGCTAATTTGATACAAAATCTTTGAGGTAAAATATAATTTAAAGTATGTATCCGCAATGTATTCATTAGATTCGGCGCATGTGTAGCAAGCATTTTCTTTCCCCTCCAGGAGCCTGCTCGCAAGCTAGCACATGTGAAGCTCGAAGTCTCCATCAAGGCGGAACTTTAGCCGATCGTAACGTAACCCTCCTCGTTCGGGAGGTATGTTTTGCAGGTTGCAGGTTGCTGGTTGCAGGTTGCAAAATCGACTTTTAAGTTCGAGTGAGTCTACTTAGCATTTCGATGGGTTAGCCTGAATAGCACTCTAGTTAGCCTAAATTAGCCTAGGTTGCTTGCGGTTAGCCTTTATACTGGGGTTTATTCGACTTCAACTCAAATAAACAAGTCGTTTCAACCTGCAACCTGCAGAATATGCCTGCCATCCTCGTTCCTGATGGTAGTCTGTTTGGTTCGCGTATTAAGCACAATAAAGTACAGAAAATGCATTGCCGCAATTGTCTGTGTTTTACAGCTGAAGTTTAAAAACGCACTGCTATCCTTTTAAAAATGCGGTAATTGCTGTTCCCTCCTCCCGAAGCTACTCAGTGCAATGTTGAAACTCTTGTTGCGTGTGAAAATGCACACGAAGTGCAAATTTGTTCCAAGACTTTGACCGTGTTTGTACATTTACATTATTTACATTTAATTTCTGCAGTTCACACCCTCTTCATTCTATGTTTCATCCGTTTCACGATTTAAGGTGAACTCAATAAATTAGCGTAGCCTGTACCCAATGTACGGATCTTCTTAGCACAGTTGGCAGATGAGCACTGCAGCAGGGTGTTTAAAGGGCAGCAGCGCTGGTATTTTTGTGCTTAGGTAGGTTTTTCTTTAATTGTTTGTTTGTCAAACACTTTTATCATGAGCACTAGAGTCGGAAGAATGGGCAGCCACTCCCTGTGTCACGACATAAAATAAATTATTACTACACTCTTCTCGTAAGCGACCATTTGACAGATAATAGAGCGTGAATTGGATAATAAGGTGTTGTAACCATATCGCATTCCTGGGTAGCACAAGAGATGGAAATGTAATTCTCAATGAGGGTGAACATGGGGTAAGTTTAGTTTCATATGCTAATGAGGCAACATTTTTTACCAAATATGGTCTAAACTCTCGTAAGCGACCACCTCCCTTAAGCGACCTCCTAGGCTTGACATTTTGGGTGGTGGCTTACGGGAGGTTCAACTGTTACTATTATTATTATTATTATTATTATTATTATTATTATTATTATTATTACTATCATCATTATTATTATTATTATTATTATTATTATTATTGCTAACGCCCGAAAGTTTATTTTCGAGCTTGATTTGCAGTTGTTGTTGGTGTTTTTTTTTTTAATCGAGATTACACTTGTGATGGTCACATCTTCATTTCATTTACGTTTCCACAGTTCAAACGATTTTGTCCTTCCATTCATTAACTTTGAATTTTAGTGTGTTAACCTAGATCAATAAATTCAAGCGTTAACTTCAGCCTAGTTAAGGTCTTTAATTATCGACCAGATTTATGATCATGGCCATGACATTTTTTTTTTTTTTTTTTTTATCAGAATTGTCAGAACTCATGACCAGTTCTGGCCTAGCCACTCTGTTTCGCCAAGATATTATAACTATAATCACAGTCTCTTTGTTTCGGGTGTATCCTTTTGAGTTCCAAGCTAACATGACTCCGAGGCTTTTGGGTCAAAAAGGTTTCTTTTGTTTCTCAATAGCCTTTCGCCCTTTTCACGGTTAATTTTTCTCATTTGCATTACAATGTAATCCAACATGGATGCGAGGCAATTTCAGGCTAAAACTACAAAATAGCCCGAAATTCCCTCACATACATGCTAGATTTTATCGTAATGTAAATGAGCAAAGGTAACCATGAAAAGGGCTGTTCCCAAAAGAGACTTGGATATTAAGAAAACAACAACAAATATAGAGGTTTGTCCTGAAAGTCTCGGAGCCATGTTGGAATATTGACATATCGAACGTGGCCTATTCTCCATTCTGGATCAAATATTTCCGCCGAAAAACATCATATTGATGACCTAGAACGGGCGAGGCTGCCTGGAATGAATGCACCACGAGGAAAGTTTGTTTTCCTTAAGCTATAACTTTGAGGGAGTCAGTCATACTGTTCCCCAATCAAAATAATAATAATAATAATAATAATAATAATAATAATNATAATGATAATGATAGTGATAGTGATAGTGATAGTGATAGTGATAATGATAATGATAATAAACTAAAATATAATACGCACCTTTTCTAAAGGAAATTTCAAATGAAAAGGTTATTGCACTGATTCTGCTTTCAAATATTTTCTTTAACGTAACCTTTACAGGAGGCGAATAAAGTCAGAGGGGATAAACGCTCCCTCGGACCTCTCAAACAAGCTCCGAGCAGTTTGTAATTCTAATATCTCTTGAGATTATCAGCAAAAATAGCCTGTAGCTGTATATAGACTGTATACAGTCAAGAGTGGATAGATTGTTACTTTTGGATGGCTACGTTCTTTCTCCAATTTAATGATTTAGATATAAAAAACACCTCCCATTTTCTATCAATTTTTAAGAAACGCGAGTTAAAGCTTGCATTGGGAGAACGAGACTGAATCTTGCAAGAGCCTAAGCCCATCATATAATTATAAAATATTTCAAAGTGTTTTTAAGACCTCTTAAGCAAATGAATACTTTCAGTATAAAAGCCGTAAATCGGAAATCCAATATTAAATGATTTATTAGAATTATAAAGCTTTATTGACTACCTCCGCCTAAACCGCCATGTTATAACAAACAAAAGGAAATCCGTCACATTCAATGGGTTTGGACAATATTTAATGGTCGCACTACCGCGAAACTGAACGTCGCATTTATACATTAAAACTTAACTTCAAATATGGGTTTTAATTTAGAAAAATTGCTTTGTTCCAGCCAAGCCGAAACAAACTTTCCCTCAAAAAATCTCTTTACGTCCGGCAAGCGGTGCGTTTGATAACAACGTATACGTACGCAAGCAGTTTTTTTGATTTTCCTCGCCCCTACAACCCCGGGACGAGGCCTCCTTAAAAGATTCCCCACACCTGGGCACTAAGGGTTGGACTTGTCTCGGGGATTGCCCGGGTTAGGGGGATGGAGAAAAACGGGTGGAATTGAGCCACTTAAACTGGGACCAGGAGTGTACACATACAGGAGCCCATTATTCCCGCCACCTCGTTCCCAAGGCCTTTTCCCTGTGCGTTTCGCGAGAGAAAAAGAATTTAAAAAACACTCCCAATATTCACCAGTAGTTTTTTTTAGTCGCTTTTTAATCAGTTTTGATACTAAATTAAAAACAGAGCATGAAACAATAGCTGCTCTGTACTGTTGTGCTGTTCACGGACAATAACCAAGTTCCATTCCTTCCTTATTGTTGCCTGATCAACATATTTTGAAGAAAGCGCGGGGAGGATGAGAAAAGGGGCGTAGTTGGAGGATGGGGAGGGTGGAGGTTCTATCTTTTGAAAGTTGCTAACGTATTATATCAATTTTCTTACTTTTCAGCAAATCACGACTACTGGACTAGATGATAACGCAGATTACCGTACCATTACACCTGTGATATTTTCTGAATTGAAATTTTGAGGTATTCTCCAGAACTCTGTTTACTGCCCCCCCACCTCGTCCCCCTCAAATTTAGTTGGCATGTTGCTGACCAGCGGTTGCAAAAGAACTTTCTGAAATGGCGGCGGTTCAGCTATGACCACCAGTTCTGCGACCCGATTGTACGTCGATTCTGTCGATTATCTGTCGACTTCTCCCGTCGAAATGCCATACGAGGAAGTCCCACTTAGTAATCTTGGGTCGAACGGTTACAAGAAGCTGCGAAACAAGGCAAAGTCGCGATCAAGCCCTGAGGAAGAACTGGGTTATGGCTCGACGGACGATGCTCCGCTGATGGTGGACGATGTTGACGATGATTTTGACGAAGATCAGGCTCTTTCGGAGGGCTATCAGTCGTCTGATAGCGGAGCTAAAGACAAAAAGAAATGGAAAAATAAACGGAAGAAGGAAGGTTGCTGTAAGCGATGTTGTAGATTCTGGTGTTGCTGCGGATTTTTGACGTCCTGTAAAAGGTAAGCTTAAAGTAAAGCCTTAACCAAAAAAATAATTATTTTAAGCAATATTTGATGTTAAAACTATTTGCAGATGGACGACAAAGATTTAAATTAAATTTATCTCAAAGTTATAGTGAGAAATGATTTTGATATGACTGTTCAGTTATGTTATTATATTATGTCATTTAAGTGTGCGTGTTCACAGATGGAAGTGTGTTAGGAAAATGTACAAGTTCATGTTAAGCGCCTAATTTGATCGGACTAATCGGACTAATTGTCGGACTAAACGGAATAAGTTCAATTGAACCTATTGAAGTCCCTCATGTCACTTATAGAAGTTCCCATTTATTTTAGAGAATATGATGTTTCAATACATCTGGAAGGTTTTACTCCAAGCTCGCTATATAAAAAAAATTATGTATGCGATATTTGAATTTGAATTGATCATCTCAGCCATCATCTTCCTCTCATCATCCTGCAGGATGAACCTAATCCCTACCCTTTTAAGTTTAATTTATGGTAAAATTCTCCCATTTTGTGCATTGTTCTTAGCCTGTATGACTTCCATTCTTCTGATTTCTTCTCCTCAAATACCTTGTGGTCCTAGCTAAAACAAGGAAACCTTATTATTGCTGGCGAGCCCTAGTGAGGCAGCAGCCTATTCTTTACAATAGCGAGAAAAAGCCAAAATTTGTCGGATGTAAGATCGGAGACACGCGCAGTCGATTGTGTTTTTTATATCTGGGCATTCTGACATCCGGGGTGCATGTGAATGCATGTGAATGCATGTGGAAATATCGATCAATTTTGAGCAATAGCTGTGTACAGCTGTCCCACTCTGCTAGAAATCAAGGACATGATAAAAGAATGTCTTTAATTGCTTGTGGAAGAATTCATCAAGGTCATGAACGGTTTAGTGATGACTCTCGAGGAAGATAAGAGATTTTTATGTGTTTGGCTGCTCTATTATGTGAGCAATTTTTGCCGATTCATGAATGGAGGTGCCAAGATATCGATCAAGTCCTACTTCATGGAGATCATTTTTTTCTCAGAGCATTCAGCAGTGAAGTGTTAGGCAAAAATGCTTCCATATGGAGTAAACTGCTGACTGCAGCTTGCTAGTCTTGGGAGAAAAGAGAGGAAGGTGTGACGTCAACCTGCTTTATGTTGGAAAGCGACTTCGGTACCACAGACAATTCATTCACAGTATTCTCTGCCCATTGAGGTGTTAAATTTGATCATTGAATCAAAATCTCTGCCCGTTGAGGTAAATAATTTGACCATTGAGACAAAAGAAAAGCTTGCAATCATATTGTTCTGTGGATTTTGATTATCTGGCTTTAATTCAATTTGATATGACCTTTGATGACACATTGCATGACAGCTTCAGTTTCGGTAAACTCACAAATTCATGCTATTAAAACATCTCATTTTCACTTTTAAAAAGAATGCTTGTGGAAATACATCTACTAAAGGTTTCCTGGGTCTCTTAAACCAAGTTCTGACATTTGTAATGATCTTTTCATAACTCAACAAAAAAATCTTCGTGCTCTGTTGTTGTTTCACAAAAGCCCTTTAGAACTAAACTACAGTAGTTGGAAAAATCATAATTCTCTTTTAAAAAGCTACACCAACCCCTGTTAGACTGTTTATTTCAAATCATATTATCTATACTTCCTTCAAGCTCTGACGCCAGCACCCACTTTCACATTGAAACTCCTAGTTTTTGTGCATAATTTGTATTTCAGTTGACACCCAAGGACGATCACATTCAAGAAATAGAAAACAGCCATGGTTTGTGTTTCTATCGAGTCATAGAAACAGGAGTGGAAGTTTGAGAGAACAAGAAATTACAGCTTCCTTGAGTTCTCCCAAACTTTCACGAGTGTTTCTATTAAACAATTAGATTATGAATCTGCATAGAAATCAAGAGCGAATAATCTAATTGTTTTAGTATAAGTCTACTAGTCATTCAAAATTTTATCTAAATCCTTTTCACAGACACTTTGAAAATGCCAAGAAGCGGCTGTCACTTTGTTAACAAAGGCACACTGCTACGCTTTTCACTATCTATCACAGAATAGAATCTGATAGTGAGTAGTGTAGTCAATCAGAGAAGGGCATTCATGATAGCACACTAGTAGATTTGTACTAAAACTCAATAGAAACAGGGAGAACATGTTTGTTTCTTTTAGAAAATAATCCAATGAAAAAAGAAAACAACTTGTATACTGTGATCATCAAAATGTAAATTCTCTTTGCTTGCACCATCACTATGTCAACAGCTTGTGCTAGTTCTGTGTTTCTATTGAGTTTTAGTATAAATCTACTTGCGTTCTATCAGGAATGCTGTTCCCTGATTGGCTAGACTTCGCTACTCACTATCTTTTCTGTGATAGATAGTGAGTAGCGTAGCAGTGAGCTCTTGCTTACAAAACAACAGCTTCTTGCTGTTTCGAAGTGTCTGTGAAGAGAATTTAGATAAAATTTTGAACAACTAGTAGATTTATACTAAAACAATTAGATTACTCGCTCTTGATTTCTATGCGTGATAGTTGACTTGGGCTGCACCCTCATCAGCTATCACGTGATAGAAATCTCAAGCTCATAATCTAATTGTTTAATAGAAACATGATTTTTAACCAATCAGCATGTGAATTTTCTTTTGGGCTATTTTCTAATTGAATACAATGGCCTGCTGGGATATGTCAGCAGTGCAAAATAATTTGGGTAGAATCACAGAATCAGATGTATCTCGAGTGGTAAACTATTTATAACACAGTGGAATGGATGTGTTTTTCTCTAGTTATAAATGTGTCTATTGTAAATTAAAAGCATTTTGTTCACAATCTGTTACATTTTGTGAACAGTGTCTATTGTAAATTAATTGTCAATTAATGGTAAATGTATCTTTTTACAGTTGTTTTGATAAACTAGCAGGAAAAATTGAGATGAAACCCAGGACAGTTGTGTTAGGAAGAGAGGTATTTTGCATGTTTTGCATTTGTTTATCACCCAGTACTGTAGACTGTGTGGAGGTTTTAAACCTTCTAATACCTGTATCTGCTCATTTTGCGAGTTAACAAGTACATCTGAAATTCTTATTATGTAATTAATAATTAAAACAAAAAATTCTGCAAATTGATGAAACATACATATTTATACTGTAATAAGCTAACATTTTGATCAAGGAACAGCAAGAAAAAGTGTGGGCAGTACAATGTAAGTTAGGTCCAACCTGTGAATGATGCAATTTAAGGATTAAAATGAGGATCATTATAAGAATAACTTATAATGTGTATTTTGTGTGGACAACACTAAAGGGCACTAACAAAATGTGTTTATGGTTCTGTTTTCAGTCTGCCACTCAGAAGTTTCCTCGTAATGTCATTTGTAATCAGAAATACAATATCTTAACTTTCATCCCATTGGTAAGCAAGCATTAATACATTACCCATTGATGCATGACAATTAAAGACTGTGCTTATTTAATTACTGTCATTTTTATTTGTGACTTTTGCCAGTAGTAAGAGCTACATGTATTCATGTTCATTGATCAACACATTTTAAGTATGAATGGTCTACACGTACTTTTGAGAAAATTTATGTCTATGTGTCATAATTTACATTCAGTGCCAAGCATACATGTACAGCTTATCACTGACTGACTGATGTCAAACAGCTGTCAGCAAAACAATGATAACCGTAAAGGTTAGATACAAAGTGATATTAATATCACTTTGAATGTACGGTATGATACAAAGTCATACGAAAGATCACTTTGTGTCATACCATTTAAGGTAATCAATGTTTTGCTGTGTCAAATAATATTTTACCATTACAAAGGCTTTTCTTTTCTATAAAATTAAACAGGACTTAGTTATTCTGTGTAGAATTCTATGTGCATATGTACATGTGTAAGCAATCAGAATAATTGAGATAGGGGCCTACATGCACTTATTATACATCTCCTGCAAATTATGTATGTAGCCTTCAAATTACTGAAGAAGTGATGACATTATACAGGTGCAGATCCATACCAGTTTCCACTGTTTTAGGGAAAATGATCAGATTTTTCTGAATGACTCAGAAACCTGGGGAATTAGGGAGTTAAAATCCAAATTAAACATTTCCCAGGAGGGCATGGCCCTGGACCTCTTTCAGAAGATTGCTCTTTCAGTGCTCATTGTGCTCATTCAGTGAAATTGGTCACCATTCGTCCTAAATCCGTGCCTGTCAAACCACCGTTATGAGACATAATGAATACATGTATACATGCACTTCATGTATGTGAGCTCTGAATACATGTTCATGATAAAAACATGCAAAGAACCAATCAGAATCAAGGAATTTTTAATTGCTATCATGGTCAGTCTAATTTGCTGTGTATTTTAAATTTTCTTTTTCTTTATTTATTTTCAGACTTTGTACAACCAGTTTAAGTTCTTCCTTAACATGTACTTCCTTGTGGTCGCCACTTCTCAGTTTATTCCTGAACTTAGAATTGGATATCTTTACACTTACTGGGGTCCTCTGGTAAGAGATCAAAAACAATTATTAAATTGTATTAAATTAATAATAGTAAAAAAAAAAAAAGAAAACTAACAAAATAATATTTTTAGATTGAACTTATTTTGATATTAACTTTATTATAGCTATTTTGTTTGATGCCATCAGGGTTACTATTTGATCAATCAATCAATTTAATTAGTAATTATTAAATATTATAATTAGATAATGAGCTCAATATTTCTATGACATGATAGTTGATTAGGTCGAAAGTCTCATCAATCATCACCATTTAGAAATTGAGAGTGAATAATATAATTTCTCACACACTGAATGCCATTTGTCTGCCACATGACAATGCAACAGCACTTTATTAACATTTCTATCAACATCACAATGATAACAGAATCGGAGTCAACAACAGGAAAAACCTACCCAAATGTTGATACACTTCTATAAACTTTAGGCAAGAACTCGCTAAGGGGTGGGAAAACTGTTGCACTGTCCGGCAAGAAAAGAAAAACTGAATCACATGACGGAGCGTGAAACTGACATCCTGGCTCGTACCCAGGTCCCCCATTCAGTGTGAGAGAACTTCGTTTCCTGCCTCTTTTGCAAGCACAGCTGGCAGGAAAAACATTGCTTTTATTAGTAGAATTGTAACTGAAATTGTTTGGCTTCAAATATCAATTTCTCACCTGGGTATTAAATATCATGCTTAAGAAAAATCACCCGGAGTAAATTTTCATTTGAAATTTGCTGTTGTGTGTGTGCACGCATAAGTTTCTTTCAACAGTTTCTAGAAATCATGACTGTCCTTCTTTAAGTCAGGAATTTGATCATAATTGATTTGTTTCTGTAAAATGTTCCTTCCAAAATTGTCTTTGGGTAAATGAGAAAACATTTGCATTTTGTTGACCACATCAAGCCACTTCACACTAATGACTGATATTATGCGATAGCTTAGCCAATCAGATTGCAGCATTAAAATTGCATTGGTATAGTAGTTCTTAGAATTCTGCTAATAGCTACAAATTATGTATTATAATTTGTACTGTATTTCCATTTCTTTAACCTCATTACCCTACATGTTACATGTTACCCTAAAAAAATAGTGTGGACCTAATATTCATGTAATAAAAATAACTGGTAATCAATTGTCACAGGAACAAGACGGAATGACTAAAGTCCACAACAAAATTCAAACCACATGTAATTCTTGATGTCTTTTGCAGGCTTTTGTTGTGTTTGTAACAATGTGTCGGGAAGCTTATGATGACTCTTTGAGGTTCAGAAGAGACAGAGAGGTCAACTCACAGCTTTACCAGAAGCTCACAAAGAAAGGTCCAGCTATGTGCTATGATTTGTATACAGCACAATGAAATAGTTGTTTTCAAATTCCAATTTCTGGAGCTTAATGTTTTGAATATACTACATCTACAGTTTTGGTTATTGTTTATCTACAGAATTGCAAATTACAATTGAATTTAAATTTAATTTAAATTTTAACATTTTTTAAATGTTAAAATTTTGTTTCCATTCAGGTAACTTTTACTATGGTCAGGACTGATGGTCTCAATGTGTTATGTGTTGTGGTTAAATTTGTAGCTGTTTTGAAAATTTTATCCTGAGAGAGAAGATCTAGTAAAAATTAAACTTGTTTATTGAATGTCAAAGCAAAAATGAAATATAAACAGTAACAACTTGATACATCCTCTGGTATTTGGACCATTTGCTGGTAACTGATATCAATTTTATAAATTAAAATACCATTACCAGCAATATTCAACATTCTTTGTTGATATTTCCTGTACTCTACTATAGGTATTGTTATGGTGCCAAGCTCAGCTATCAAGGTGTCTGATCTTATCATAGTTGAGAAGGTATGTTAATAAATAAATATCAACAAATGTGACATAATAATTGTCACAAAATCCTGAAATCCAGAAATTAGATAAAGTCATCAAGTGTAAAAAAGTCATGAAGTGCAAGCTACTTCTTGACTCTGTAAATGAATCACATGACTTGGACAAGGAAATAGATTGTTCTGCAGTAGGTTTCTTAATTTCTTTTGGCCTATAAGTTATTAAAATCATCAATGATATTGATGTGCTTATTTTAACAGAATCAAAGGGTTCCTGCCGATATGGTGTTTCTGAGAACTTCAGAAAAGACTGGTAAAGATTTGTGATCATTATTTTGATAAAGGATTCATGAATGTCATGTAAAATTTTAGTTAAAATTTATAGCCCTATGATCATTTTTAAAATTGACATGATTAGCTTCTTGTTTAGTTTGTTTATTTGGTCACCAGTACCAGTATGCAGTGGAAAATATTCTCTTTTTCAGGGGCATGCTTTCTAAGAACAGATCAAATGGATGGAGAAACTGACTGGAAGCTGCGTTTGACTGTAGCACCCTGCCAGAGACTGCCTTGTGATGCTGTGAGTAATGTAACCTTTCTACATCTGATGTATTTTCTGCTTAGCCAATGTCATCACTGACAAGTGGACTCATCAATGGGCACAGCTGTTTGAATGTTGATTTATTTTGACACACAATTAAGCAAACATGACTCTAACTCTAAGTAAAGAAAAAAAAACCCTCTCTGCAATTCCCATGTTTGTGATGTTTGTAAGGCAGATCTGAGTATGGCATTACCTTAGGGCATGTGTGGACCTGCAGGCAAGTTGGTGGTGTGATGCAAGTTAAAAGAATTCTTAAGGTCCAATTACACGGGTGATTTTTAGTTGCAATTTTCTTTTTGCAATATTTCTGATGAATTTTTTTTGCACTCATGCTGCAACCAGCTGCACTTTCAGCGAGCTTTAAGTGTGTCCAGTGTGACTAGAATTCCAAAGACGTGATTAACTTGTCAAATATTTTGTATCAGAACAAGTAAACATGTCTCATAAACAACAGTAGTGTTGTTTTGTGGTAAGTTTGAAACCTTCTGGCGATATCGTACTGAAATCACCACTGAATTGCACTGAAATCACAGCTGCTTTACACATGCAATGTGGAGTTGCAGCCCTGGGTGCGACAAAAAAAACCTGGTGGAAATTGCAATAAAAATTAAACCAAAAACTGCTCGTGTAAATGGGTCTTAAGGTACGACACTCTCTTTAGTAACAGTTTTATGTTCTTTTAGGATATGCTGAACATTAGTGCATCTGTGTATGCAGAGAAACCACAGAAAGACATTCATAGTTTTGTTGGCACGTTTACAAGGGTAAGTTGCTATTCCAGTTCTTGTTATGTCTCTGCACTAAATGATTGTCTTCACCACATAAGAAACTATTACTTCTTTGGTCTCGAGTGCTGAAAGTATGTCCATGCTTCACAAGAGAATGTACTCTTTCCTTTTTGTACAGTATATCTTTCTGGGATTATCTTGCAGAAATGCTGGTGTTCTTTAATTGCACATTGTTGAGCTGTCTGTCTTCAGTAAATTTAGTAATTAGTAGTAATTTATTTAAGTAACACTCCCTGTAAGAAGAAGGCAATTACATGAACCATTTGGGTAAAGCACAAACTACTGTTGGACTTTAAGAAGTTGTGACACAGGGAGTGGTTGCCCATTCTCCCGAGCCAGGGGCTCATGATATAAGTACTTGACAATTAAAACTCTGTTTAATCAATTTAGTACGATGGAGAAAGGACTGAAATTCCTCTCAGTATAGAGAATACCATGTGGGCCAACACGGTGATAGCATCAGGTGGGTGTAGAAACTGGAGCTTATAAGTGTCGTCAGCTACACAGTACATGTACGTGTTTATAACTGAAAGTTCTCTATAAAAAGGCAGTATCTCAGTTAATAATGATGTAACACATGTGACCTTTCATGCGAAAATGTTGTTACACTGTATGGACCTGAAAGGATAGGAAAGAAACGTTTTTCTTGCAGCTTGGTGAAAACATCTCAGTACAAGCAGAATGCCAACCTCCCATATATAGGTTGACTACGAGTAGTCGGTTTTTGTTCCTGAAATCCTCCACACATGGGATTGAGTTAATATTATGCAAATTAGGGAAAGCAACGAGGAAGGAATGGGCTTCGGCCTGTTTTCTTTGCATCCGGGTTTAACGGCTTCGCTTTTCGCCGCCCAATCACTCGTCGCACCCTAGGAAATGAAACTCGTTGCGCATTTGGAAAGGAAGAGACTGTTTGACTGTTCACAGTCTCTTTCTTTTCTTAGACTTGATTATCCTAGAAGAAATGTTTCTTGTGATTTGAAACCAAGGTCTCAAAATGAGAAATGTGAGTGAAGTCTTCTTGTAAAGCAACTAAAAGGACTTGTTTGTGATTATTGTTAAGGCACTGCTGTTGGAGTGGTGATCTACACAGGTTCAGAGACAAGAAGTGTAATGAACACATCAAACCCCGAAACAAAGGTATCTGACTGTAAACTTA